TCCGGCGTCGAAAATGCTGACGATGTCCTCATCACTCTCTCTCTCTCCTTTCTCTCTTTCTAGAGAAAACTTAAATAAAAAAAGAAAAAATGTGTTTATTCGCCATACCCTATTGTTGTCACCACCAGTACGTATGAAGGTATAAACTCGTAAAACTTTAAAATATCCAAAATCATGAGAGCAACTCTCTCAGCATGATGAGCAGAATCTGTGCTTATTTTTTTAGCATGGTAGGGGAAACTAGGAGGCAATGCTCATGATGCATGAGTAAGCCTTGTGCACTTCTTTTAGCACGACTGGGAAAATTCAAATAGAATTACCTTTGCGCATTATTCCAACATAGAGGGAAAATAAAACAAGTTTCAAGGGAGTGCACACTTTTTTAAGCATGGAGGGATAGAAGACCACCGGCCATGGTGTCTAACGATATCAACTATATAAGCCTTTTTAAACATGGTGGGAAGGCCTAACACACACCCCCTTCACAAAAAAAAAAATCATTACAAAAATCTCAAGTGCACCACTCTAACACTATGTTATATCCCCACAAGCATGCAAGATTATTGAGAATATTCCACTTGTGACATGCATGCTCACCAATGAAGAAATATGTCAGCAAAAACATCTTTAATTTATAGAATTTCGTTTGTCTAATCATAAAAATAAGCTGTATCCCACAAGTATAGCGTAGCTTACTAAAAAAAATGGCTTTACCTTCTTGGACCAAAATCCTGTTTGCACAAACACATGTTTGTCCACTGTTGCGGAACTTTGCTGCAAGCTGCAGGAAAAAAGACTTAAAGATTAAATTCTACAAGTACTAATGCAGAAACTGTCCTAATAGTAAATTATTAGTTATTAAATATAAGTTAATAAAACATTACAATAATTCACCCACTTGAAACCAAAAACAGCACAGTGGGCCTTCAGCTGTCATAAAATTTAAAATATATAGCAAACATAGCACGGTAATAATTTAATAAACCAATAAGTAAAAGCTTACACTTCCTTTTACTGCCACATCTATTTCTGCGTCATCAAAAACAATGCAAGGGGCATTCCCGCCAAGCTCCAATGACACCTGCTTCGTCATATCATCAATAAGTACAAGTCTCCTTCAGTAATTACTGACATCACACATTGTAATCCAAATTTTAAGAAAATATAAACTGGATAGAGTAAACGAAGATACATCAAATGATTTGGAGTTTTAATGTGAATCAAGATCTGAAACTTCGAAATTACTTGGGTTGCTTTTATTTCATAGTATTATCTATTTTATATTAGTTTAATTTAATGTTCAAACTTACTTCGAATGCTTTTATTTCATAGTATTCTTTATTTTAAATTAGTTTAATTTAATGTCTGGATGGAAAAGAGGAATCTTTATAATGAAGTTATCTACTTCGATGGTTCTTGGTTTTGTCCATATTTGATATTTAGCCGTTGGTTTCTATGGGTGGGGTTTCTTGTTATTTTAAGTTATTTAATACGGCTTGTCAATAGCCTTTCGATTGGACATTGAACCATGATCAGTACTTAGTTGATGTTATTGTTCTTGTTCTTTGGCCTTCTGTGTTCATGGGCAATGATTTCTAGAAGAGTTTGGGCTTCAATTGAAATTTAAAGATTTATGATTGAAATCCCATTACTTAAACCACGTTCATAGCTGAAGTTGTTATCCATGTGTAATGTGTGGATCGCTGTTTCTTAGAGCGACTTGCAAGACTGGCATTCCTTCAGGTCTACTGATTTATTCCTGGCAGATGTGATAAGTTTGCGGTTCGCGCACTATAACTTAGGGCATCTCCAACCGAAAATTCCATTTTTCACTCCAAAATGTAGTGAAACTCAAAAATGTCGTGAATCATCTCCAATTGAACTCCATTCTGCGGGCTTCTGCGAAGGGAATGGTCTTTCACCTCTTTGGTGCGTTTCTTCGGCAAATCTGGTTGCGATGTCAATATTGGCGTTGCATTGTTCACCCGCAAGCAAATAGCGGAAGATTTGACGTTCGGCTGGAGCGATCAAACGACACCATAGACATATTTGATGTTCGGTTGGAGATGCTCTTAAGCAATTGGACATTTTAAGTGTCATGGGGTTGCCTACTTTATTAAAATTTTTTTTGCTATTTGAATAAGGTTGTTATGCTTACAAATAGAGAAACCGGAGGCATTTAAAATCAATTATTCAATAATAATTTCTTTTAAGAATTTTGTTTTCTCTTCATGCTTTGCTGCCGTTTGGATGTGCATCTTTTTAGCATGGTGCATGTGACGACTATTAAGTTCTTGGGGAAGCCATCTCCATGCAGATGGTGTGAGACCCATTTTTCTAACTTCAATGAATTATTTCCTAATTCTTTTTTCTTCCATAATTTTAGTAATTGGTTTATGGATGTGATTGGATTTTTTCAAAGATCTTACCATTTAGACTTCAGATTACAATGTGAATTCTAATAATCGTACTGTTTTCATTGATGACAACATGGGTGATGCTTAAATAATCATTGATATGTCGCATTTCAATCTGCCTAACATGTTTTATGGATTTCTGTTTGCGTGGTCAAAATTTAGAAAAAATAAATCATAAAGAAAGCTATTAATCAGAGTAAATTTAGCGAAGCATCCATGATATCAGAAAATTGCATTACTGCAATTCACGCAATTGATAAAACTATGTTATGCAAAGAGTATCAAATGACAAAGCTAACTGCAGAGCTTACCTTTTTAACAGTATTCGCTGAGCCTGCCATTAGCTTCTTCCCAACAGCTGTTGAACCAGTGAACGTGAGCTTCCTCACCTAATAAAATGTTATGAAGACATATAGCTAAGAAAATAGCTTCTAGCACTTATAAAAAATCGGGATGATACAAACGGAAAACAAATATAGAAACCTGCGTGCTTTCCAATAGAGCATCGCCAATTTCAGAAGAATTTCCCAGAACCACATTTAGTGCACCCTGAAGGATTTAGGTCACAGAACAGTATAAAAAAATGTTTTTAAATTAAAACAAGATGACTAACAAAATTCAATAGCCAATTTCAGTAGTATTGGATTCAAAAGTTCTTTTAACCCTATTTAATGAAACTAATAATAAATATTATTCTACGAACTACTGCATTGAAGATTGAAGTAGAAGATTAACTTGAATTTCCAAGATACGGCTATAAGAAAAGCAAAATTAATTTGTGCAATCACTACGTTGCAGTTTTTTGTTGGAAAATAATTATAAAAAAAACTTAGATAAGAGTGCAATCCTTCGATTATCCAACAGCTCACTAGTAAACAAATGCTAAGGTGA